TATATATATATATATATATATATATATATATATATATATAAGCAAATCAAATGCATGGTTAACTGGCAAACAGAATAACAACATCGAGTGTGTAATGAAGCAGATTAAAAAGCGAGGGTAATCACATTAGGTGACAGCAAATAACTGTTGGCGTAGACTATATCGTCGGAGAATGTGTGTGTGTGTGCGTGTGTGTGTGTAGTAGTAGTAGTAACGACACTCTCGGCGCAACTGAACCCTCGTCAATCTCGACTAGCCAGAAGTATAGAGAGAGATGGAAGAGAGAGGAAAAAAAGTTGGACGTGGTACTAGTGCGGCCCCACTTGACCGCGTTGACTTCTCCGCTCACCTCCTCTAGCCTCTCACTCTTCTTAACTCGCGCATGATCAAGCAACTCGACGTGTTTGCCGCTTGGATTAAGGTGCAACAGCGAATCAATGAGCAATCGGTTTTTGCCCTCGTAAAGGATACAGACGAGAGGGAAACAAATGAAAAAAAAAATACGGTGGATTGGCATTGCATTGTCATGGAGAGAGGCTTGCGTTCGCTGCTTCCGAATGAAAGATTTGCCCGGCACACGCGATGTAGTCCAAGCTATTCTATGTGTATGAGAGAGAAAGCCTTTTTATCGGGTATCGGCTAAAGGTAGATGCGCGTGAGAGCAGCAAATATGAAAATAAAAACAAAATAGAATCTTTATATGGGGGTCATATGACTAAGATGAATACAATAGGTATATACACTGACACAGCGGATACGCATATCTTTTGAAAGAAAGTATTTCAATTCTTTTTTACGACGCTAAAAATCAATTTTTTTATACCGCATTGCAACTCTGAGTGAAGCTTAGATATGTAAGAATCATTTTATTTATTACTGATAGAAATATTTGAATTTTAAAAAGACTTGAACGTCCTAGAATAATCTATAACTCCAATATAATCTTCTTTTGCCTACAGTTTGTGACGTGAAAGGACCGGAATTACAGTTTTTGTTGCACTTTTTCTCAGGCAGCTTTACATTCCTTGATAGAGAGTAATCCCTCGACGCTTTGTTGTTATTCGAATAATTGATTTTATCTAGGTGAACATACTTATTATTAGGCTTCATTGAGTTGACTTTTGAAAACAGTCTAGACACCTAAACGACATTAACCAATTTAACTCAGGCATTTTCAAAGCTAGTTGTTAAATCCTCTTCCCGAATATTGCTATTCTGACGCACACAGAGCGGTAGAGAGAAAAAAAACCATCTGTCGTAGCATCGGAAGGCATAAAGTAAAAATGAAATCCTTTCATAAATCGTAGAATTCACGCGCGCGCACGAGTCTTAATAAACTTTTACTACGCACGATTTGGCGAGTCAGAGCGAAATATCTATGGACACGTGAGAGATAAGCTTTTGTTTTATCCGAGGATCACGTTCACCAATATACATTCTTCGCAGTTATTTATTTCCGATTAAATATATCCAGATGCGTGAGAGAACAATAACGCAAAAAAAAACTCGGTATATCAAATATTTCCGCTTCCTAATCTCTTGTTCCTTCTGTATAAACAAAAAATCAAGTAAAAACATATGCGAATAATGGAAGCTTAAAAAAGAACATAAAAAATAAAGAAGGAGAGAGGCCAAAGTGATATCCGGATATCGGAGTGTGTTTCGATTCAACTATTCTATGGGCTGCTCGAATTTCGACTACTCAGCCCCGTTGCTATAAAGCGCGGCGAATGAATTTTCCAGCGTGATATTTATTATTATTTTTATCGAAATCGAATCCATCGGCGCAGCTCGAAAGGAGTTTTATGACTTGCTTGCGCTAGCTCTCGAAATCACAATTTCAAATCGAGTCTCTCTCTTTCTCTCTCTTGACTGAGGCTTTTCTTTGGCTACGCGCGCGCTCTCACCTCGTGTATTCGTTTTATTTACTCACTCGGACTGTCGCAAACGCGCGAGCGCGAAAAACCGAGGACGGATTTGGAATTGTCAGTCTGACGACGGTCCGATTTCAATTTCCCCGCTCGCGCAAACCTACCTCGTTCCTCTTTCAGGTTCGCCGCCAAGGGAAACCCAACAGTTCTTTAGAGTGTGTGCACCAACATTTTTTTTCTTTCGCTTCGTTTTTCTTTACGAGCGTGCCTCTCATTCTCGTTTATTGTGATTCAATTGAATTTCTGGTTTTCTGGAACCATTGAAGATTTATTTATCTACGTCAGTATTTCATTTCCACGATGATTAATTATTTCTACGTTGTCAGCAAAAAAGCATGCATTCGTTCGTCGGATATAGTGCATTTGATTGTGCGTGTGCAATTTTCTTTCAGCGTTACAGAAAATTGCTTTTTTCGTAAGGAAAAAAAATACGAGCATCACGCTTGGACAAGAGGTTTTGCTCGAATACAAAGTCTCTTGCGTTTCTTTATTTCCATGTATTTCCATTTCTTAGCAAATAAAAAAATAGTAGTTTTCTGAAAATTAAAATTCAAACGAAGAGCCTTTCGAGGATAACCAGATGTCTTCGTACATTACTTGTTAGTCATAATTACTTGAACAGTATTTGTCATATATTATGTTCTTTTTTCATTTATTTTATCGAAAAACTGTAATTCTTATTTTTCAACATTTGTAAAAATAAATAAAAATATTTTCAATCTCATACGAACAATTATTATAAGAAAAAAAAGTATAACTAATTGTTGTCATTAAACTCAAATATTCTTGTCGATCGCTAAGAGAATCAAATTAAGAGTAATTTATCAACGCAGTTCTCATATTTATCGGCACTATATTTCATGACGTTTATTGAAATGACTTTTGAATAGAAACGTTCCATGGAAAGAAATGATTTGTGTCTACATCTCTTGGAAAATGTTCAGAGGTAACATTAATGACTGCAACATTTGGCAAAAATTGAAACTATACGGCCATACTCCATTATAACTTCGTTGAATATCCAGGCAACAATAAAACTTTTGAAATTCTAGCTTGAAATTCATTTGAATTTATTTTTCAAAGAAAATGTGTAAAATATCTTGCACGAATGTAATAATGGATTGCACGAGAGGTTGCGAGTTTTATAATACCTTTTCCATTCTGCTTCCTTATTCGCAGCTGCGGTGTTAGCGGATATTTTTACGCTCGAAAGTGTGAAGAAAATTAAATTCGAGCGTCGAGAGGATGGAGTATAAACTGCGCAGCTGTTAATTGTATACCGATATATGACAGCTTGAGAGAGCGAGAGAGCGAGAGAGAGAGAGAGAGAGTTTTTTCATTAAATCTTTGCCCCGGCGTTGTTAATTGTTTCTCCAGGAAAACAATTTGTTTCCAAAAGTATTTCACAAATAATTTAATAATTTTCCACCTTTGTTCAGTCATTCAAACTTGATATAACTTTCAGCTACATGTCGGGTGAATTTGAAGCTTATTAAACGCTTCTACTTTTTCAATTCAAAGTTTCAAACGAGCAGCTCACACGGTTGATCTATCAAAGGATTGACGCTAATAACATTCTCACTGAAATTCGTTCGGTCACGTGGAAAATAATTTGAATTTATGCATTATGGTATCATTACTGTGTTTTTCAATAACAATTGATAACGTCATAACTTGTTAATTCAAATATAAGCTGGATGTAATTTTGAAAAAAAAAGTTTGCGCTTACTGCGCTGAAAATGGCATTAAAACAATTGAATGCCGTTTAGGCAATGACTCCGAGCACTTGTATCGATGAAGATTAAAAATTGATCAGTTGACAGCAGATAAGTCACAAAAACAAGAGAGATAGCGTACGGTGTTGAAGGCTCTGCGCGAGAGTGAGAGAGGAAGCACGCAGCCGGGCCGACGCTAGCTTTTAACGTGGGGAGTTTAGAATGTTGTTTACATTCGATTACCCGTTTAAAGTCTCCAATTAACGACTAAATTAAAGTGTATCGCGCAAGTAATCCACGGAGGATAGGATAGACGGCACGAAGCCGAAATTGCGACACGCGCCAGCCGCAAATCTCAGCGCGGGCTCGCGCGAGTTTGCTAAACGGATAATGAGATTGTAGAGCGCGGCAAGGCAGGGAGAGAACAGGACAAATTGTGCCACGCAATTCGACTCCACGCACAATTACAGTGAGTATCGAATAGATCTGCATTATCGTTCTAATAGCGATAACATCGTCGCGCTCGCGCGGTATGGCCTATTTTCCTGACGCCGTGTACACAAGCGACGACCGACTACATTGATTTTGGAATTAGCGATTCATTTGTATGAAAATACGTTGGATGTACAAGTATGCGGATGCCAGCCGTGTGCATTGCTGTTAGTCATTTGCCGAGTGCCACACACCCCAGCTAAGTCGACAATTTATGCTCTTGACGCTTCGCGAGCTTTGCTAATCAGGCAAATGAGCGCGGCTCCGGCGATTTACCGATGAATTTGTAAGATTTTCAACCGTCTATGATGCATTTATCGAAGATTTTATTTATTAATTGCGATCCGTCGATTATTACCCCGCCAGCTACCCCCTGTTCAATATATCAAGTTGCAAATCATATCGCGCGCGAGTATTAGGCTATTGCACATTAATTTTTGGATCGATGATATTAATTGTAGTAAATCATATTGGCTAGCGCGATATGCAACCCAATAACGTCCAAGTGAAAAAATTATTGAGCTATTGCAAATTGATCATTTGACGTAGGCAATTACCAAATAACGGGTTAGTAGCGTTCAATCAGCATTATTTTTACTCGCGTTAATTGATCGAAAAGCAATATAAATGATTTTTTTTCACAAATCACCAATATAAAAGTAAATGTAACATATATACAGTACGATCTACATTAAAAATATTTTATTTTCGTTTGAAAAATCAATCATCACGTTCAGCATCCTGATGAAAAAAATACCGACTGGCGTGCAAAATAAAAGAAAACACGCACGACCTATCGAAATATTGCCAATTCATAAAAAAGTAATATCTCTGTGATGTGGATGTTTTATATTTTTTACAGAAGCTTTCGCGGCGGATCAGAGGTTTCTGGCTGGCTACGGTCCGACCACGAAGAACAACAGTGGCTGGCCGCAATTCGAGCTGAGCGTTGCGCGCAACGTCACCATCGCCGTTGGCCAGACGGCATTTTTGCATTGCAGAGTCTATCAGCTCGGCGATAAGGAGGTGAGTTCAGCTTTCGAAAATCATTCCCGTGACCTTACATTCACAATTTTCAAAACGCCTGATGACCGAATATTGAATTGTGAGACGAGTTGATTTGCTAAGAATACATTGTAGTTCAGCCGAAATATTTATAACAAAAGTCGGTTATCCGAAAAAAGACGGCGGGTCATTTAAACGATTGATGTAGAGCAGATCAATGGTATTAATAAGCAGTAGACGGACTTTGAACACATGTTTGCTCTTCAAGTGTTTATAGTTTGCTAAAGATTACGAGATCACAAGTTCTGCTCGCCGAAATTTATTCCAGGAGATGACCTTATTGCAAAGTTAGCACGTGTGCGACAATGCCGCATAGCTAACTAGAATGTAAATTAAGAAAAAAACCCTCTCGATTTCAGTGTCACGATGACGACGACAGTATTCTTTCTGTCATTTTAAAAATACCCTTGCCCCTATGAATATGCAGACACGTTAAATAGACCTTTAAAAATGCCTCGGGCATTGGTGGCTGCTCTGTGACGCTTAACCCCGATTATGAGCTTCATCACTGATGCAACCTCGACATCATTTCCAAAAACGAGTCTCCAGTTTCTTTGCAACTCTCTCTGCAGCCTATATAATCTGCAGGCTCCATTGATTTTCGAATGCCAATTGCGTATATCACGGGTAGTAGTCTGTTTCTTAACTGTTGTTTATTTATTTTTTTCGTTTCCCTTTTCTTGGCTTGCCAGCGCAAATTCACGAGCAATTTAGTCGTGCGTGTTCAGAGCTTCCTGCGTGGGAGAGAGGAAAGTTAACAAGACCGCAAGGTTGCAGCAAGCCGTGGTTTTCGGTCAGCCGCTGCCAACCGTCTCCGTCTAGAATATGCATGCAAGCACCTCTGTTTTTAAAATTAAGATACGCTCAAAGGACATCCGACATATCTTTCGTTCTGCAGAAAATTCCGTTATTCCAAACCGATTTTGCTCTAGGTTATGTCACGCACTTTGGGATTTTTATTTTGTTCCTCCACACAGTTCTATTGAAAAATTCAATTATACAATTGATTAATCTGGAAAATGTTACGTTACAGTCGGCTTTTTTATTTGAACCTGTTGTTTTCACTCACTTTGTCACGTATCTTTGTAACTTTTACAATGTAAAATAGACATTCTTAGCTTTCATGTACAAAAAATGATAATAAAACTGATAATCTTTACAAAGAAACTAAGAATAAACAGAAAAGCTATGCCATGTATGTCATGCACTAAATTTATTGTTTTTAAATCTTTACTACAGCGTTATTTGTAGATTATGCGATTTTGCTCAGCTTTCTGTTTTTTGTCTCTTTGCTACGTGTCTTTTTGAGGTCAATTGTTCCAGCCTTTGAGCTACTGTCAGCTAAACATTAGCTTTCCGGTGCAACGATTCCCTTCTCTCTTTTGATCGAGCATTCCGATTACAGTGGCTTTAGGTCGAAAGGAAAAAAAGAACGAAGAAACATTTTTCAGCCTACCGTGACTGTTCAAACTCAATGTACTTCATTATCGTGCTTTCTTTTGTTAAAAAAATTAGTTCGTAACTAAATGTGTACAGTCTGTATAACAGTATTATGTGAAAATATAATTTTCTGAATTTATTTTATGAGTGAGTCATTATCTTTTTAATATTAACTTAACAATGACTTACAAATTCTTACAGAGATTAGCTCTACAGAATTTAATTGTAAATATTCTTCAAAGTATTCAAGCAGTGTGTATACGTGGGTGAGTCCGCGATCGAAAAATTTGTTCTCGACAAAATAAAATAATTCTATCGAAAAAATATCACTTATCCAAATCTTTTGAAAACCTAGATAATTAAATATTTATATACCTTGTTAAAGCTACAACAAGATTGAAAACAGCTATAAAAAGTAAATAGGTCAATGCTTTTAGTTTCTTACTTCGACCATTAATTAGTTGCCATAATTATTTTGATTATATATTGTTGAAAGGAAAATTTGGAAAAATTGTTTCATTAATTACAGTCAGCCAATATTGAAAATTTCACACTGACGACTTTATAGCTGCTAATGATCTTAATAACTTAATAGTTAACTGGAAAGGTAATAATTTAATCATTCATGAGACAGATGAGTCACTGCGAGTAACGTATTTATAAGTTCAATTAAAAACAAAATGTGCAATAAATAACATTATATAGAGTCTAATAAAATTTACGAGGAGCCATAAAAAACATGTAAAAAAGCCATTTGTGCAGTTCAATAAAAATAAATTTTATTTCGAAATTACATTAAAAAACGAAAGAAAGTTTATGACTTGCGAGTTTATGAAATTGAGAATTTCCGAGATAAAAAGTAGATCCAAGGATATCAGAAGTACAGAATTGAGAAAGGGTTGAATGTGCGGTTTTACTGAAACGTATAAAATACGAATCTAATAAAGGCCACGACAGCCAATAAGGGAGTTAACCTACCGAAGCCCCAGGACATTTTCCGAACCGTAAGTTTCTAAGGTAGGAGAAAGTGCGAGAGAGAGAGAGAGAGGAAGTTCAGTCTCCCTATCAATTTTTCATATATTTGAATAACCTTCACAGGATGTACATTTCAAGCAAACGAACCGCAAAATATCTTAGAAACGAACTTTCTACGTGAAAAAAATTTCATGTTGAACCAAAATCACACTTAAAAACAAACAAGCTTTATCGAATGTTTATTAAAAGTACATCAGCTGATACAATGCATATAACATTCGTGGCTTCTCAATGTTAAAGTTGTTGACCAAGTTGCCGTTTGTAAAAATCAAGATCCGAAAACAGTATATGATAAAGATTTAATTGTATTAATACAGTTGATATCCATTCCTTCATTCCAAATAATAAATATAGAAAGTAAAAAAATACGTGTAGCGATAACGCAATCTACAAGTCTAAGTATTCCGAAACTTTCATTAATGTGACAACAAAATCATCAAGAATTGGAAAGGCTTAGTTTATTGTAGATTACCTGACCACAAATTAACCGCGTAATCACGATACACTAGCGTAACGTAGTATTAATCTACCCTATATTTACAATTGACTATCGCAGGCAAAACGTAATAACGCGAATCTTATCGGTAATGTCATTGGAATACCCTCGTTCCAATATCCCCCTGTGCAATCATCCGAATTCGCCGCGTCACATCTTTCAAACTAATTCCTTCGGTGGGGCGTAGTAATATCCGGATGCAGTCAGCCAGCTCGATAAAGCATTAGTATTATAAGCTGTCAATCGGCGAAAATTAGCTCGAACAGCGAGGAGAAGAAAAAAAGAAAATACACTGGCAGCTAACGACGCGTGAGGGAAGCGATTCGCGCGCTTTGGGCAAGCTTAATCAAGCATTACGAGGGGGCAGGGGGAGGCTGCGATAAAAAATGGCTTTCAGGGTCATCGCCTCGAGTGCGCGTATTTTTGCTGGGCCCGGCGAAAAACACACTAGCCTAGCGCTATCTTCTCTTTCTCTTTCTCTCTTGCGCCTGGCTTTTCTTCGTAGAAACGCTATAAATTATACGAGAGACCTTCTTCTGCGCGATCCCGCTTCTTATCTTGCAGCCGCTTAACAGTTCTCCACTTCAAAAACTCGCTTCCGAATTTATATCCTCGGGAGGCTACCGACGGGTAGCCGAGTTCGCCAGTGAGAAAGAAAGAAAGAGAGAGAAATAGAACTATCGACTATTGTCTTTCTCCCTCTCCGTCATTGCTAATGAGCTGGGATGTGGTTCTGTTTGCGGCCAGTTCATCAGTATTTATTTCTTGCCCCCGACGTGACGGCGAAGGAGTTTTTAATTATCGAGATTTCGTGCTTTTTACCATCTCGGTTCTCTGTGATCCCCTAATGGATACGTTTATTCTCAGAAAATCAGCTCAATTGGTTAATTGTCAGCGATGATACTCATATCAATCCTCGTGCATTCCATTATCTCTGCTTTCAACGAACTTTTGTAATAAATTATACTGCAAGAAAATATTATTACTTTATTTACCTTGCAACTATTATATGTACTCGATGATAATCATTGTTACCAAGAGAACTGATATTTGTATTGTTGTTATTAACAATGAATATACAGGCTCAATGAAAAAGGATATCACGTGTCGCGTCAGTGAGTAAATTGAATAGGAAATATATCGACGTATGTAATCTTTTGCGGATACATCAGTTCGAACATAAATATTTCGAAAATATCAGCATCGCCTACTCGCACGGCCTTTAAAGAAAAAAGAAAAAAAAGAACTGTAATGTAGGTTTTTTAAAAAAACGACCCTATTCAATTTCTTTATCTCTTGCAGAATGCTCGATTTTTTCATGCGAAAGCGAGTGATTTTCATTCATTTTGAATTGCAAATACACTTCATAACAATTGAAATTAACAGGCTTAATAATATATATGAACTTTATAAAAAATAACATAAAAATGCAGATAAAAATGTCCAACTTGGTAGGATTCATTTTCAGTTTTTTGCAATTAAAATCATGCATTCTGTTGAAAAACATATGTAATATGATAAAATATAAAATATTCAATTAAATGAAAATACAATTTTTAGTTTATATGTTTTTTTAATAAACTTTATTGAAGAAATATTGTTCATGCGTTAGAAGCGCTCTTGAAATATACATATCAATTCCTTGCACTGGAAATTTATGTATAAAGTAGGAACATGTGTACATAAATCAATACCGATAACATATACACATGGTGACTCTCTTGATCAACAATTTATTACACAGTTCAATAGGTAATTACAGAATTCATTTATTACAAAAAAGGATCATTGGCAATGCGCGACTATATACACACATGCGAAAAAGTGCGTCAATAAATTATCTCACCACATGCAGTAGATGTCTAAAGGAGTATTTACGGATACAATTTATTTATGCGAATTTAAAAATGTTCAACGATTCAATTACTTATTCATATAGCATTCGTGTAAAGAAAAACTATTAATTGTTTGAGGCACTGCGCCTCCAAAA